TTAAACCTGCTATTATTGCAAATGGTCTGTCAATATGTTGTGGTTAGAATCACTGTCCAACCATTTTCTTTCCAAATGGAATGTACTCCTCACAATTTTACACCTGCATCTGTCACACCTTTTTCACATCTGGGCAAAGAGTATACCTTTGTGATGCGGTCTCCCTTAGTAGAGAGTCCCCTCGTTTGGGTGTCCTTTGGATACTTTCAGAGCATGCTTGTACTTTCACCCTCCACCTATTCAATGTGGGATTCTAGCTATGTATGTGAGTGGAAGTCAGATACCTAAGAAGATAGAGGGAGTCATGTTGGTGTGTGCACTACTATTGGTGAAAAATATTTTTCCAACAGGTTCTTACTTCCAGTCACACTTTCAACCCTTCCTCCCCACTGTCAACTGGTACTTATGTTTCTGCCTAAACTTGAAGTGATAGTTAGGTAGAATAGCATAGAGGGAGTCATGTTAGTGTGTGCACTACTATTGGTGGAGGTTTGTTGCATGATAATTTGCATGTGAGAATCAGTTAAACCATGTGAATTGAGGGGTGCATGGGAGTGAAAGGTTTGTGGCATGCAAAACAATTTTTGCAAATAGAGGGCAGCATTGAATGAGAATAGCTGTGTATGTGAGTGGAAGTAAGTACCTGTCAGGAATACATTTTCAATGCAGGAAAATTATAACTTTTAACTTCCTGAAAATAATTATTAGCTATGGTACCATTCCCATGCAAAAGCTTAAGTTTCTCTTTAAATTCAACTGTCATTTCATAAAGCTTACCCTTCTCTTTTATCTATTTCTTCTACTCTGTTTAGGATAGCCTGTATTTTTTCTCCCCAAAGCTACAAATTATATACAGATTGTGCATCTTCATTATTAACCTTCTTTAATGTGCATGCCAGTGCTGATTATAATATGGACTATTGTTATAAGTTTTAAGGTTTCAAAATTCTCTGGTGATACTAAACTGCTGCATAATGATGATTCTTTGGAAAATGTTTCCTTTATGTAGAAGGACTTGGATGGTTTTACTAAATGGGCTAATCTGAAGAAAATAAGTATAAACATTGATAAATTTAAAGTGATCCACTTATGGTATGAAAATATGGAAAGACCTTAGTTTTTATGTGGAATATGTATTAGTGTTGTGGAGGATTTGAATGAATATTTGGGAGTGGTGGAAACAGTAAATAAGGTTCTGAGATCTATATATAGAAATTTTGACCTAAGAAGTAGGGAAGTTAATACCACATTTTACAACACTGGTAACACCTCCTTTGGAGTATTGTATTAAGTTTTTGTTACTTAAAAAATATATTTATTTGCTTGAAATAGATCAGAGACAGCTTACTAATATGATTCCTGACTTGAAAGATTGAAGCTATTAATATAGATGGAAGTACTTGAATGAGGGTAGATCTAATTCAAGCATTTAGTATTGTTAGGGTTGTGAATAAGTTGTCTGAGGGAGTTTTGTAGTGGCAGAGGGATAATATTAAGGAGGAAGCCCAACATATTAGGTGAAATATGTACAACACAGGAGCATTATTGTTCAAAACATTTTCTCTATTGGATTTGCTAAGTAGAAATGGTTTGCTAGATAATGCGTTGCATCCTTGTACTTCTTGTGGATGTAAAGGGAAAATTATCTTGAATGTAAGTGCAAGGTAATTCTAATGTGTTATCATATGAGAGCCATTTGCTAATGTTTTTTTGCAAGTCCTTGAGTACTGTGCAGATGCCTGGGGATTGGAAGTTGGCTAATGTTTCTTCTCTTTTTAAGGAGATAAAATTTTTCCAAGTAATCATAGTTTTATTAGCCTCATATCAGTGTTAGGAAGAGTTCTTGCATGTCTGATAAAAGATGCTTAGCAAAGTCATTTAACAAAATTTAAAATTGTGTGACTAGGAGAAAAGTTTGCTGTCATTGTTTGAAGAGATTATTGTTTATTGTTCTGATACAATACCTTACCTCCACTTACATAATAGCTTTTCTCTTTCAGTGCTTCCACCTATTTGCAAAGATGTTTTGCTCAACACTAACCTTGATATTTCCACCTACCCCACGTGTTTAACATGGTACAGCTGTGCAAGCAAATAAGCATGTCACAATCCTCCACCAATAGGAGTCCAATACACCATCCTGACACAGCTGGCTCCCTCTGTATTGTAGAACCAAATCTTCACTTCTTGATTTAGCACAGTTATATGAAGGTGTGTTCCAATTTTGCTCATGTTTGATTTAGATTTTTGCCATTTCAATTTTTTCAACAACTTCATTGTTTCAGCTTTTATTTTTTCTACAGTTAAACTTGAGTCAATGTTTGTTGTTAGTTTTGTTATTCACTTTCAGCTAAATTCTGAATTTCAAATTACTACTACTGCACCTCAACCTGCA